TACAGAAACAGGTGTTGGCTTGTAGTCTGAAAACTGATAGAGATGTGCCTTATACCTCTGATTCTGCTTTCAGAAACACGTGGTTTCAAAAACAAGTATATGATTAAAAAAAATAACACGTTCTCAGGAAACACTGGCATGGACTTAGTGGCTTTTAGCCTCATGACATCCACCACATACCCAGCCAATCATTAAACAAGGTTCGGTTGCATTTTAGCACTTAGTCCAGATTATTATTTCCATGTTGGTATACCAAAAGGGGAAAATATTGATGTATAAGGGTATATGTGAGCTTGTCCTTACCCCAAGCAGCAATGACTAAAGCACGATGCTCATTTTGCAAATCCTGCTCCCATTTACATTAAAACAAAGACAAAAAGGTTATTGGTATGTGCTTAATTTAGAACTCAGAAGAGATACCAGCTCTTCTTACGCTGCAAAAACAGAAAAAACCCATCCGAGAAATTGCTACAATATCAGGAGAAGCAAAATCTACATTTGATACACCTTGAGAAAGAAAGCAAGCACTGGTGAACTCAGCAACCTGAAAACACCTGGACATCCATGGAAGACAGTGTTAAGTGACGGCTGTGTGTAGACAGGAATAGGACCCAAGGTGCAGACTCCAGAGACAGTCGTAAACTCAAAACAGCTTTAATGTAATACTCAAAATATAACATAACTGGAAAAAATCAAAATAAACTTAAACCAGCGGACTGACAGAACACACAGCTAGGTAAATGGTAGATCACGACCCAGACACAGAGAAACACAGGGCTTAAATACACAGAGGGAGCAATCAGGGAATGGATAACAGGAGGGAAACACAGCTGGGGCAAATCAGGCCTAACAAGACAAGGGGAAGCGAAACCAGATACATTAACATCAGACATGGACTTTCAAAATAAAACAGGAAACATGACACAGACTGAACTAAAGACACAGATTCGCACGCACTGCAACAGAGGGAACAGAGACGTGGGACTAGGGCAGACACAGACACTGACTGGACATGGGGATATAGCAACTAAGGATACACAGAGACGCGAACTAGACAAGGGAATACAGCTGACAGGGGAGACAGAGCAACTAGAAAAGACAGAGACATAAACCATCAGACAGAACTCAAAGAAACCAAAGACTAGAAATATAAATAATATAATAAACTCAAAAACCATGGGTCAACGACCCAGGCATCCTAACAGACAGCAGTTTTGGATAATCGCAGAATCATTTCCATGATAAACAGAAACCTCTTCACAACACTCTCCAGGTGGAAGATGTATCTATATCCAAGTCTACCATAAAAACAAGACTGGATTAAAGTAAATACTGAGGATTCACTGCAAGAGGCAAGTCATTCATAAGCCTCAAAGACAGAAAGGCTAGATTGGACTTTGCAAAAAAAAAAAAAAAAAAAAAAATCCAAAAGAGCCAACACAGTTCTGGAAAAACATT